TTAAAATACAATAAAAACAATATAAAAATACAGTAAAAATAGAATAAAACCAAACACATATTCACATATAAAACCAAACACATATTCACAATTCACAAAACACAGTTCCCAACGGGCAGAGATGGAGGGAGCTGAAGTTCAGCACATCCGAAAGGCAACCGGTTCTCAACCCCTGCACTAGATCAGCGTTTCTGTTGAGTCCCCTCCCGTGAACCTAGCCACCTACTGATCTTGGCTTACAGTGTTTCATTCATTTCTATGGGGTTCCACCTGGCCAATCTTGTCTGGGCTGCAGTGAAGAGAAATCCACGGGAGATGCATTTTTTCAGAAGACATAAATAATAATAGAATACCTACGCGTGTGTGCGCCTAGAGAAAAGGTAGGTTACAACTGAAATACATAAAATGGTAAGAATTTTTGGAGCAAGCTGACCCATGGCCTCGGCTAGACTACTAGAATGCTCTCTATACGGGGCTGCCCTGTGGAAATCAGGGACAGTTGGGGGTGGGCTGGCTGTTCCCGTTCAGAGCACGTGACACCATTCGCCCCAGCTCCCCTGGGTAGGTTCAAGAAGCCACTTATGGCCACTGAAGTCCTACGTGGTTGGCAACCAAAGGACCTGAGAGAATAACGCTCCCCCTGCAATGGCCTGGCTTCTACGAACAGTGAGAGCAGCACACCTGACTGCGCACACACATGAAGCTGAGCAAGAACCCACAAGGAAGCAACTGTTTTCGTGGCCGCTCCCACAACGTGGCACTCCTTCTTGCCTGAAGTGCTTCAACCTCCAACACTCCGAGTTTTGGGGCATAAACTGAGGGCAGCTCTATCTTCCCCTGGCATTTGCTGGCTCCAGCTGGGGTTGATCAACCACACGGTGGGCTTGTGTCTCAAACAGATACACTGATTCTTCTTCATCACTGCTTTAAGCGTAGACAGTATTTATGATCCTGCCATTAATAATCTTTGTTACCTACTGGGCAGAGAACACAAACCGGCAAACTAGCCCTGGGAGAAAAATTAATATCACGTGGTGCTTGCTATCTCCAACTCTTGCTCCTTTTTCTGCTTTGGACAGCACCATCTCCTTCCTTCTGCAGAAGCAACACAGGACTTCGGGGAGGGAGGGAGGGTCAGTGGTGCCAGGGCAAAGGAGAGGGGCCTGGGGGCCTGGGAATGGTCACCTCAACTGCAGGAGCAAGTCGGAACCATTCCTCACGGATGCCAGCGGAGGGTTTCTGGGCTCATTCTTGCTCGGTGGTGGGCGCAAAGGCAAGAAGTCGCCTTGTCTGCGAGGGATAGGACGTGTTCGGTGCCAGCTGCCGGAGGACGTCTCTCTGCAACCTCAGCCCAGCAGAAGGAACAGGATCGGTTCCATCTGCGGTCCTGGCTGTGCCTCCAGCATGTCCAGCTACCATGCAGGATGTTCCATTTTTCCATGGCAGTGTTGGGGCCATGAACTCAGGAGGGATGAGTAGCTGCCAACCTTATCTCAGGCAGGTTGAGCCAAGAGCCATGAGGAAGTCCATAAAGTGGCATTTCCTTTGGGAAGGAACCAGGGCCTTTAAAGATTAACCATTCCTTAAACAGCAAAGACTGGGTGAGGCCGTCACCCTGCCAGAACATCCCAAAGTCTACACAAGCTGTAGGGTGTGTATGGTGGGATGGGGGTGGGGAGAGGCAAGAAAGGCAGGTGGCTGCTTGGAATGCAACTGGCCAGCCAATTAGGCCCTCAGGGCTGGCGTGGGGACCCTGCTTCTCAAGAATCTGGCTGGGCAGCTGAACTCCCATCTCTTTTGTTCGCCTGACTTTAAATTCCTTGGAGGCAAGCAATTTCCGGGTGTGCGTGTGAAGGGCTCATGAAAATGTGTAGATACTTTTCAGGCTTGCCTTATGAAGCCACCACTGGATGGAAAGAACTGATTCAAGATTTCAGATGGCCAAGACAATCTCCATGCAGCATGCACAGTAGATATTTATTTGTGCATGACATGCATTTTGGATAGCCTCATTAATGCACGTTTTATATAGCTTGCCACATTTTGTGCAAGACTTCACATTACATCAGCCTTTAGAATTTTAAAATTACAGAAATAGTTTGCCTAGATCAATTTTAGATAACGCACATGCTTCATATGACTTTTTCATATTTTAGTTCAATTGTGTTCTTCCCACCTCTTTGGAGATGGATTTATATTAACAGTTTTGCAGTCTGCCCACAGAACTCTCATTATTGGATTGATAAAAACTATACTAAATAAATCAAGCATAGAGCTGTGTGCAAAGGCACATTACAAATTCCTTTGGGGGGGTGATTTGTTTCTAACAGAATTGCCCCCAGTAAGTGTCGAACAGATTGCAAGGTAATTACAAGAAAAATAACCATACTTGGAAAAGGCTGTTCTCATTTCTTGGGGATAGTCATAATATTAAATGAAGATCATTTTGTTTTGAAAGAGCAAGGGCTTCCATTTAATGTTAGTGGACCACTTTCTCCCAAAACTGCTCGGATTACCACATGACAAAATTACTTTCCATATTAATTTCAGTGCCTACCTGTGTCCTGCTCCGCGTGCTCTTCCAACTCAGAGAAACTTAAAGCTGGCTAAACGTATCCTGAAAGTACTCATTCAAACTCCTAACGTGCTACAAGGCAGACACACTACGCATATTTATGTTCCTGTTTTTGTTGCCCGAATAAACCTAAATCTTATTTCTAATTTCAGCACACCGGACTTCCGATACCATCAGCGTTTAAAACTCGGAGGAAGGCCGCCCGTACTTGACTTACGGCGTAAGTGGCATCCCAAACAAGCTGCTATGTAGTCAAGGGTGGTCAGGTTTTTTGGGAGGGGGGTTGAAGAAAAAAAGGGGTCCGCCCAATTTTCAGGTCCTGCTCCTCTGCCACAAATCAGGGCGGGGAAAGTGCTACCTGTGGGCGATCGCCGCTTTTTCTGAAGATCCTCGGAGCAGGGGGCCGGCGGGGGGGGGGGGCCCTGGGGGGGAGA